ACCAGTCTTCACATACTGCATAGCTGAAGTGTGCATAAGATGGAAATTACTGTCACTGCTGAATGGCAGCATAAGAACAATGTGTGTTGATGCAAGTTTCTAGGAAGCTGAACTATGCTTACTAGGAAGACACTAAGTGTGTACCTGTGTGTCAGCTCTCAGTTTGTTTCTTATAATCAAATTAACTGGGTGGGTTCTGAATTATTAATGCTGCAGATGAAGGGTCAAATGGAGTCCAACAGATCTGTTAGCTCAAGTACTGTATCGGTGTAGCTAGAGAGAACTAGCAAACCTTGCTGTACCTGATCCGCTTCTGCAAGGATGCAGCTATAGCTGTATGCTCCTGGGGTTGTATTGTAGGTATGCCATTGGTTCCACATGAGTCAGCTCAGCTCTGGGTGACCTTACTAGGTCAGTTTGTGATGCTTTGTGGAGGCAGGCTCTTAATGTTCTTCCCTGCAGTTGGGCTCTTGGGAGGGTTATTGCATTGAGCTAAGGTCCATGCCGTGTATTTGGATCCTGCCCCTGCTGTGATGAACCATAGTGGTTAGAAACAGAGGGAGCCAGTACCAACCCTCACTTAAGTATGCTTAATTTAACTAATTTAATTCAGTTTAAATTTAACTGAACTGACCCCAGCAGAGCCACTGAGCTTACTGCATGCTGAAGTACTGTTTTTGGTGATATGTTGTTGCCTCAGGCATGACACTAGGCTAAGCTGGCTGTAATGCTAGTAATCTACATAGTCACCTATAATGTGTGATGAGAGCACTATATTGTGATACTCACAAGTTGTGCTACACTGCCACTGTGGTTGTATGGCAGGATTCAAGCTGTGGAATACATAAATGATGCAATTCTCAGTTCGTTTGGTTTTTGTTTTGTTTGTGGTTTTTTCCCTCCTGTTACCTTGAATAACGGATTACTGTTTGAATGCAAGCAGAGGTGGAGAGGTGTAAAAACACAAGTAAAGTGAATGAGGTGGGGGGAACAGGGGGTGAGGCAAAAACCCTTGGGCAAATTATTCTCCGCATATATAGCATCTAAAGTGATGAGTAAGCTCAGTTAGGCACCAGCCAGATGTTACTTACTTAACATCACTCTGTCCAGCTTTGGCATAATGACAGGAATCCTATCTTTACATGGATGAAGTGATCTTGAAACACTTCTGTATTGGGTTAGGTAGGTGCTAGCTCTTTCAGTATTGATTACAAGAATGTTATCTGGCCAGTTGTAATAAAGATAAATGCAGACTTTATGAACTGTCTAAAAAGTAATTTCCATTCTGAAATTTTTCGGTAATTTTTCATGCAATAGTTGTCTCTGTCTTTTTCTTACTACTATAATTAGCTTCATACTACTTTAAGTAACTCTCCCCCCAAATTTAAGTGCTTTCTGTGCTGAAAGTGCTGTCCTTGATATGACAACTGTCAGGAGTTTAGATTTTTAGTTTAAATTTAAAAGAAAATATTGCACTCTTGTTCAAAATATGAAATCATTTTTCAGTATGCTATATTGTCTTTCTAAAGTTAAAAAGTATCCAAAAGAGGCTAATTAAAAAGGCTGAATAACCTTGCCCGGTGGTCATGCTATTTAGGTGTGAAGTCTTAGTAGCAAGGAGGTGTATGCTCACTTGAGTGTATTTGACAATTGGAGGTGATAAGCAAGCCCATGTTAAATGGTCAGCGTCAAGAGAAAAAATTCCTGGTGGATTCTGTGTTTCAGTGAACTACCAGAATAATGTTTAAAGTCAGACACAGCATGGTTGTAAATCTTTGTTATGGGTAAAGTATTTGTAGACCGGAAACTTAATGTCATGTAAACAGAAAGTCAGAAAGAGTGCGAGATTTCTGATTGATTTAAAAACCAACCAACCTAAAGGAGTTCTTGCACGACTGATGTTAAAAGCATATAAAGAAACTTAGCAATTATTCACTTTAAACCATTTTTACCATAAAAGATGTCTCTCTCTTAAAATAATTCATGTGTTGAATTTTTGAATATGAATAGGGTTCATATTTTCAACATCTGGGAGAGCATGTGTGACAAAATGTTTCTGCTGAAATGCACATAGCTTTGAAGAACTGCTGCTGTTGTGAGTCAGGAGTAAGATACACAGCTTTTATTAGACATGTTGCGAGCCATCAAGGATTTTAGCTATCTCTTTTCCATGCTTATCTGAATTCTGTTTTCTATTGGACAAGGCTGATTTCACTCCAGATATATGTAGATCTTATCTTGTGAAATAATGAAAGCCATAGACAAGCACATACTTTTAATGATTGTTTTTGACACACTTGCACATCCTGTTTCAAGAGGTACTGGCAAGCTACTGTCATATTTGGTTAACAGGATCTTAGAAGCAGACTTCTGGGATTCACTTCAGTATTTGTCCAAAAGCTTTTGTATGAGCAGCTTTTTCAAACTTTGTGAATATGCAGTATGTGGTTTCAAGCAGAGTCTGTCAGAAGTCACTAACTACTGATGGTTCATGCCATAACTCTTCCTGAACAAAGATAATTTGTCCCTTTCTTTTCTTTCTTTGCCTCTTGCCAGGAATGGTGAAGGCAAAGGTGCAATTCATTCTCTTGGCAGCTTAAATTTTGGCTTTCCAGCTCTTGAAATAAGATTGTATGTGTATATAGTATTTAATAGAAACCTCACAAGTATTTTGTTTTGTGTATTGCCAAAGCAGCTTTGGTCACAAAGACACTCAAATAATTTTATTAGAAACAAAGGAGAGTTTTGTTGGAAAATCTATTTCCACTGCCAGAAGAGTGATGGGTTTTCTGAAGTGTACTTCAGAATAAGAGTTCTCCTACTGTACTGTAAGTGGTTGAATTTGGTACACTTAAGGACTAGCTGCAGTACTATACATGGTTTATATTACTGAGTGAGTAGTGTGAAACGTAAGCTGTTAATGTTTTGTCCTGTGTATTTGCTCTTTTTTTTTCTGATTCTAGGTGTTATCCTTTGCAATGGGATCCCAAACATTTACTAGCTGAATACAATCTATTCTTTTTGTTTCTTTAAAAGCATTCCTTTTAAAACTAGCTTTTATCCTGCTGCTTGACACAGAGCTTAAAACTGTAGTATATCTAATATTATGTGGATTAATCACGTCCTTAATTTTGTTGCTGGAGTTCCAATTGTCTCATCTTTGCATTGTCTTAATGTTGTCTTGCTGATGGAGCACTCTGTTGCCCTTTTAAGGATGTATTTGTACAGTGTTAAATTCACAAGTGATCTGTATTGATTGGACTGTGACTTGTGGACCATCAGTGATGTTACCCACTTCCATCACAGGGAGTTGAAAACAGAAATATGTGACAATCCATCTGTCATGGCAAGTTGATTTGTCAGTCTTTCCCTCCTTTCTGAAGAAGTCTGAAGTCCCTTCATTGCATTCCTGACTCACTTGGATTTCTATTTCTGAGCAGAAATCCAAGAATTTACAGTTTTCTCTTGGGTATTTTCTGTCTCTTCCAAAGTACATGTAGGCTTCCTTACTAAACATCTAACTTCAGCCATATACAGCATTCATCTGAGGCATTTCTGGTGTGCTTGAGTCAGCATAACATTTGGTGATAGCTCCAGAGCTAGAAAGACAGGAAATGCACAGGACAGTAGACTGCCTCGTTTGTTCAGGGCCAGTGGATGAGGAGAAGAGTACAATCTGCCCACAAGAAATAGATTTGCTTCTAACCAAAATACATCTTTGGAAGTTGCAGCTAAACCAGTTTAACACCTCCATTCTGAATTTTGTCTGGTTTTTACTCTTACGGAACTGCATGTGTGCCTTAACACCCCCTGCTGTGTGTCGGTCTGAATTTTCAGTAACTCATAAGCAGTGTATTTTCCCTAAGTTGGTTTTGAGCTATTCTGAAAACATTCTTAAATTGTTATGCTTAAACCATTATAGCTTGTTAGCTCTCCACCTTTTCACTCCTCTTATTTTTTTTCCCTCCTAAGATCAATCCTGAGAAGAAAGTGGCATGTTAATCTAATTCAGCAAAGTGTTGTCTTGTGCTTGAAATAGTCCCTGATAACTTTTCTGTTGGATTGGAGTGTTAGACTGTGATAGCCGTGCATACTCTAGCGATACCCGAGTCAATAAGGTCATTTGCCAAGGGCATTTCTAGATCTAGGAGTGGTTTTGCTTCAGGAAGGGTGTGCAGCCTTTTGGCCTTTTCATGCTGAGTATTGCATTGTGGCCAGTTGATTTACTCTGTGGTCCTTTTACTTTTCAGTGATGTAAGGGACTTGCAGAGCATGTTAATGTGGGTGTTGGTTTTGCAGCAAAAGGGCTTATTCATAAAAAACCCAAAGGTATCTGTCACAAGGTTTTAAGTATGGTACTGCTTAGAAAGTGGATGTGTATGCTTGCTCTGTGTGATGTGGCTCGGGCTGATGATTGTAGCCCGACAGAATGGTAAAATGGTCCTATTACTTCAAAAGTGATTGAAGAAAAGCTTGTTGGTATAAGCTATTGCTGGGTGGAAAATTTACTCTTTTGGTCCATCTTGCAGTGATGTGTGCCCAGGCATCTCTGGCCACAGGTTCCTTCTGTGTTGTCACTGGAAGCATCCAGCAGGCTCTCCAAAGCCACATTGCAGGTGCAACAACTTTTTGAAAGAGTCTTCTTAGGATGGAATGATGAAAAAAGTGTTCTTCTAGCTTCTTTAGTTTTACTGGGAAATGAACATACTCTTCTGCATACCTGTTGTCAGTCATACTTTTAACGTTGCAGAGAAGGAACAGCTGCTCTCCAGGTGAAGACTCAAGTCTATGGACCTTGTTCCCTTTCCTACCCACTCAGTTCCCTGCAACACTGGAAAAGTAATTATGATATTGTTAAGGCTTAACTATTTCATTTTATAATTCATATGTGTGCTTATACTTAAGAACTTCTCAGCCTTGTAGGTTACAAGTGGCAATTTTACAGTATAAAATAGAGTGGTCAGTACTTATTAATGGGGTTGGACTTTCTTTCCTGTTAGGTTTGGTATTCACCCTGTGGCTGGCCGTATGCCTGGTCAGCTGAACGTACTCCTAGCAGAGGCTGGTGTTCCCTATGATATTGTACTGGAAATGGATGAGATCAACGAAGACTTCCCAGGTTAGCCTGCGAGTGATAAGTTTCCAGTAGATTTGGTTTGATCTTGTCAATTTTTATTTGATTCTGTTTTTACATCACACAAGGATTTTAAATATAGAAAATCTCAGTCAGGCCATTCAGTTTCTCTTTGTGCCTGTCATGATACCACTGTAGAGGAGCAGATGTCTTTCTCTTGCAATCAGAGTGCTCTCCCAGCTGCTGGTAAGTGAGCCCAGAGGAATGAGTACAAGTAATAACCTGACTCAGAAGCAGAAAACTGAGAAGCAGAGAGTACAGATGGGTAAAGCAAAGGGAAATATTGACTGCAGAAGTAAAGAAAAGAGTAGATAGTGAAGAGAGTTTAAATAGGCCTGTGAAACTTGTTTCCTCCAGAACCAAGGGAACAGTTGGTTGTGGTTTGGTTTTTTTTTTTAATGTAAATTGCTTGTAGCTGTGAGATAAATGACAAATGCTATGTCTTTTGTTCTCTCTGTTACTGGTCCATACAGGAAAACTACTGTTACTTCTTTAGGTCAGGTGTGGATGACTTGACCCTGTCATGTCTTGCAAACAAGTATAGCATTGTTCAGATGACTTCTTGCTTTCTTACATGTTCATTTAAAAATCAGAAAGTTGCTGGTAAAAGGTTTTTCGAAAGAATATTCAAAGGAGAAGCCAGGCACAAAGAAAATTGAAAGTGATGATACTATGTGTGTGTGAAACCACATTTAAATATCAAAGGATTTAACTTTGTGTGGCAGAGTGGTCTAAGGAGTCCCTTGGAATGGGGTTGTGGATGCTTGCAGTTTGCTGGCAGTATTTGGTAGCACACTTGGACTCTCACATATACCTTGCCTGATAAGTTTGTAAAATGTTTGTGAATAAAGTCCCCATAAATGTTTGTAGAGTGCTTACCATAAAGGGTGGTTCTGCCTCTAAATATCAGATTTAATGCAAAAATATACATCAGCCTCATTGTTCAGGTTTCAGATAATTTTTCATCAGCTTTCTTTTGTCTTGCTGCAGAAACTGACTTGGTCCTTGTAATTGGTGCAAATGATACAGTTAATTCAGCAGCTCAGGAAGATCCGAACTCTATCATAGCTGGAATGCCAGTTCTTGAGGTCTGGAAGTCCAAACAGGTGAGATTACCAGAGTTGTGTTAGCACCTACCTTAGGTAACATGCTTTTAAAAAATATGGTTTATAGGATAAGCTAAGAAGATTCTCCTACTCTACTGGTTTCCATGAGAAGCTTTTCTGCAAGTTGTCCAAGAAAACAGTCAGTACTTTGCAAGTGTGATGCACTGTTAATGATTTTATAATCATCAGCAAGTGCTTTAGTGAGACTAATGATGACTGCCAGTCGAAAAGACCAATGAAAGTGCTTCTGCTAAAAAATGTGATTAGAATAAGTGATGTTCTGCTCACATCTGCAGCCCTGAAGCATTTCTGTACAAATACCTGCTTTTTGAAAGTTTATAGGAAATTTGATTGACAACTTAAATATGGAGGTGGAAATACAAAAATGAATAATATGCTTAAAAAAACCCAACCAAACAATGAGTGGCTGGTTTGAGTAGAGAGCTCAGTCTGTTCAGATTGAACTGACATTTTAGTTACCTCACCAGTTTTTCTCTTTGGAAGCAACATTGTCTGATCTAAAGTACATATTGTTGAGTTTCCTTGATGTGAAATCTTTGGTGTCTTGTTCTGAACCCAATCATAGCCTCAGTTCGTCTGTGGGTTAGCCACTCAAGTACTCAGTCGTACGCACATACATTTTTCAGTGCTGCGCATAGCTGTGTGTTGCAATTTGAGAAATAAACATGTACACTGTAAAAGTTGGTAAAGCTTCACAGTTTCTTTGCTGAAGGTGCTCTGGTTAACTAATTCAACATTTAATAGCTAAAATCGGCTGAAATTTATTTTAAGATTTATTTAAAAAAAAAAAAAATCCGATGCATGAAGTAATACAGAGTAATAGGCTGGAGAAGTACCAGGGAGCATTGCATCAAGTATTGATATGAATGCTCATCTGAATTGTGTTGCTATCAGGGAATTGGATTCTTAAAATAATGAAAAAATAAAAAAGCCTCAAAAACCTTCTATATTACAATCATCAGTGCCCATCTTGCTTTGACTTTATTACATGGAATAAAGTAAAAGCATATGCATGTGTAGTGTCCACAGTCTCTTCAACTGACATGTAATATTGTGTTTAACAATAAAATGTTTCTGAAACTGGTCTGGATATCAATTTGTTGACTATATTAAAATTTGAAACACAGTTTTGTAGCAGTGAGCACCCTATTTTGGCCAGGGATCTCTCTTCCTCTCCCTTTGTTTGTGGAGGTTGTTTTTTTGTTATCTTTGAGGGCGTACTTGGTTTTTCCTGTTTCAAACATGAGCTCTTTATGTGCAGGTCATTGTAATGAAGAGGTCTTTGGGAGTCGGTTATGCAGCGGTGGACAATCCAATCTTCTACAAACCCAATACTGCCATGTTGTTGGGAGATGCTAAGAAGACTTGTGATGCTCTGCAGGCCAAAGTCAGAGAATCGTATCAAAGCTAAATACTGATTTATATTCCTCTCATGGTTGCAACTACAGTTTTGTCACAGAGGTCATGGAGAATAAGAGTTAGAAGAATCTCTTACTGTCATAATGCAGCCAGCATTTGGAGAAGACTGCATTGACTCCTAGGAGATGTTAGTTCAGTCAGGGAATGTAGGTTTTTATGAAGGGATGGGCCTATTAGCCCCTCAAACTAAATCTCCCATGAGGCAATGCATTAAAGAACAAAAATGTCCTTTTTAAGGTTAACATTGAGCTGTTAAAAGCAGAAACTAATAACTCGGGGTCATCTTGAAGTAGTTGCTGCCTTATTCCTCCTTATTCTCTGTACTTCTGTCATGGAAATTCACTAAAAAATACTGTGCCAAAATCGTATTGTGTCCTATCATCAAAGTTGTTCTTTGGCCAGTGTGGACAAAACAACTATTTATTTCTTCAAAACTTAAATCAAAATTACAAACAGATGCAAGCAGATGCAAATAGATGCTTACATGATTTGAGATTCTAAACGTAATATTCTGTTTGTTTTGTGGATTGTATGGATGCTGTGAATCAGAACATTTTAGGAAAGTTACTTTTCTTTACAGTTCCACTTTTTTGTAGTGCCCACTTATATTATGTAAAATGAAACACAGGATTTCAGGGACCTACCAAGTGATCTTCAAGCCTGACAAGGAAATGTACACTTACTTGCACTGCTTAACTGTTTTAAGCAGCTGCTAAATTCTCCATCTTTCCAGTTGTTGCCTTTTTAAGTGTCTGAGGAAAAATGTGGTCTAGTTCTGGACGGGCAGAACGTCTTGCATACCTGATCTCTTAACAGAATTTGGACCACAGTGTTTCAGTTTATGTTCACTTAGACTTTTAATTGTATTTGCTACTTTAAAATCTAGCGATGCTTTCTTAGTTAACATTTTTGTGATGCTGGAAAAGGCACTTTTGAACATATTTAAGATGCTGGAGTTTATTAGGATTTTTCTAAATAAGTAAGCTATTGTTTGGACAGCACAGAAATGTACCAAACTTAAAATCCAATATTTTGATTATTTGACTTCTCCCTAATCTAACTAAAAGCACCGTTAAATTCCCATAATAAGTTCAGCAAAGAATTAAATTAGATTATGACATAGATTGCTGGGTTTTTTTTTTATTATGTTAAGTGCATTTGAGTGGAACTCAAATATTTGCCTAATGAAATGAATTTATCATGTTTCTGTAATGATGTAGCAACTGTCCATGGTGACAAAGGCTAAATAGAAATAGCTGTACTTGAGTTAAAAAACATTCATATCTGGGGAAGACAAACTATTATGAAGTACGTCTTGAAATGAATCCATCTTGATTCTTAGAACAAACACTTTTTATTACACCATGTATGGAGACCTCATACGAAATATAGTATTTCTACTTAGCTACCTCTGTTTTTATGTGAAGATCACTTAAAACACAGACTTTGAACAGGTAATTCATTAAGAAGCGTAACAATGTATGAAAAGCTACCCTTTTTGCAAGTCTCTTTTATATAATTTGAAATAAAAATTATCATGTAAGCATAATATGTTGTACGCTGCAGGAAAAGACTTCTACTTAAATTTTAATTTAAAACATCGCGGCAGCTATATTTGAATGTAGCATGTATGGCCTCTTGATTTCATTGTATTCAACTTTTCTTTTAGGTCTGCAAAAAATAGGAGGGAAATGGGAGAAGGGGAAAGACAAGGGAATAATCCTGTCTCTCTCTCTCTCTCTCTTTCCCAACTAAGCAAAAAAGGGGATTTGAAGGGATTTAACATCCCAAAGCATTATTTTTTGTCTCGTCCAAAAAAGGGGATTTGAAGGGATTTAACATCCTAAAGCATTAATTTTTGTCTTGTCAAACTTGAAGTATCAAACCGCGGTATGCAACATGTCTGCTTATAAGTAGGTAACATAAGACTTAGCTTTTCTTAAAAAAAAAAAACAAAAAAAAACCCCACCACCAACAAAAGAAAAACCAACAAAAAATGGGGGTGCGAAGCACTTTTTTTTGCTTTGTATTTGGAAAAAACCCCATACTGTTACGTTGGATCAAAGGTGTTATCTTTAAAACTGTGCTTTGCCATGGAACACCGTGTAATGTTGAAATGCTAATAAAAAGTCGATTATGTTTTCTTTATTGATAACTGTCTCTTCTCTCTTTTTGTGTTTCCTGAGTCGGTAAGTAGTCTGAGATTCTTTCTGGGAATTAGAAGATCAAAATGCCACCAAAGGATGTTGAGGTTGAAGAATGTAATGAGAAGGAATCATAGTGGAATATGCATATTTCCTTTCTTTTTGTAATTTCAATGTTTCTTTAAAATATGCATTCCAGGTATGACTGATGTTACCTCACCGCAGCAACTTCACTATGAGCTTTTCTAGTAAATGAAGAGGGTTAGACAGCTTCTGAGTGCAGTTGATCCCAACATGTATTCCCTTTCAGACTTAAAAAAACAATCCAAAACAAACAAACAAAAAAACTCCCAAACTGTAAGAACTAACTTGGCCAAGTACTTAATTTTCTATTGGCTGAAGTGAATCGTATCCCTTTGAGCTTGATACCATATAAGTTTGTTTCAGTTCTAAGTTATGTAGGTCTACAAGATGATCAGGTTGATTGTTGATATGATTTCAGTTTCTACCTTCAAAATGAATGATAAATGAATAATTTTAGCCATCTGATAATTTGTTCATTTGTATCATTGCACAAGTCTGACAAGCGACTTTCACATTTTCTTCAAGCTTTGGTCAAGCTGAGACTCGAGGTCTCTTTCAGAGGCTGCAGTCTGGTGTTGATTCATGAGGTAACCTCTCTTCCTTCTTGATCAAGCAGCACACCCGGGAAGCATATATCCACAGCATATGGATTTGTAGTCTGACAAAGGTAAAGCCATGGACTATGTCCTTTTGTGGATCTGACTGCTAGTTTGAATATTTTACTCTCTCTACCCCATCTCCAGCTGCTTATTACCACCCAAGAGGTATTTACTCTAGCCTGCCTCAAGCAGGCTATGAATCTTCTGATCAGATCATGGTCCATGGCTGTGAGACACCTTGCATCTTTGCTTTTAATACAAGTTGTTGCTCTACTAACGTTAGAGGAATTTAGTTTGGAAGGATCCTCTAGAGATAGTTTGGTCCAGCCCCCTGCTGAAAACATATCCAGTTTGATCAGATGGCTGCAACTTGGGTGCATTACCTAGCCTAATCCTGTTACTGTGCCCCTCTGAGAAGAGTTGTTTTCACCACTGCCATGGAAAACAGCAGAAAGATTCTGCCCTTATCCTTCTAAGGTTGACAAACCCAGTTCTTTGTCTTTCAACTTGCATGTCATGTGTCAGGGATGGCTCCCAGTTTGGCTCGTTTCGGTATGTCAGTGGTTTCTTGTGCTGCACACACTAATCCAGATGCAATCTCACGAGTACAAACTGCAGGGGAGTCATCACTTCCCTCACCTGTGGGCTGTATGCTTAACTGATGCAGGCCAATATGCAGTTGGCCTTTGCTGCAAGGTCGTGCTGCTTTTTTCATGTTTCCAGTGGGACCATCTTGGTGATGATGGCTCATTTCCTAAGACTTGCAATGACTACTGTTCCAACAATATCACTAGTGTGGGGTGGTTTCAAAAAAAAAAAAAAAGAAGAAATTACAAATGGTAATGACTTGCCTAATCTAACTGCTCTGTAGCTGCCCAGAAGATATATTACAGTAACTGTGATACATGGCTCTTCCTGAGAGGAAGATACGTACTTACACCTTTTCATAAATGGGCTTAGTAATACTCGAAGATCCAAGTTCCCAAAAGGTGATGTTTTGAAGTAGCAAAACCAGTCCTAAAACATTAATTTAAGGTATTGCTTGAGAAACTAAGGGACTAATTTATAGCTATTGTTCTGGAGTGATCATCATAATGACTTCTAAGAAAAACACTTTTTCTCCACTGGGAAAAATAATGAGAAATAATAGCTAATGAAGAGTGAACAGAAAAAAGTGTTAGAGGAAACAACTTAACTATTCTGCTTTCTCTATTTCACTTTTGCCTGGAGACAGATTTTTCTCTGAAAATGAGAGGGAATCATACTCTTCAACTGAACATATGCATAGGTGGTTGGTGTTCTTCCCTTAATGACAGTTGATCAGTTTTATTTTTCCCCATATACTCCAAGACTGCATGTAGACCTGTAGATCACTGAAACCTGGCATTCCACAGTCCAGTTTTCTGCATAGCATGTATAAATTATAAATACCCAGTTTCACTTACCTATCAGAGAAATGGCTTTCTGAATTCTACATTGCTAATTTTTAAATTCACACCACTTGACACTTTTTTGAACTCTGTAGGTTGTACTTCTGCAAAGCAGTTTCAGTTAGATGAGGATATGGAAAATGAGTATTAAACCTTACTTACCAACTACAGCTGTCTTTGGAATATTATGTGAACAAGAGGTACAAAATGTGTCTGTTGCATGTTTTGAAAATAGGGTCAAAGTGGGTCAGACAAGATGGGGAAGAAGTTGAATGTCAGAGAAGTAAAGTAGTCATGCTGCCAAGATCAGACCTTTACTTCAGATGTAAATACAGCTTTGAAAATAAGGTTATACATGACGCAGTTGTTATATGTGCTGAGTATGACGTTTGCTAACAGTGTTAAGTTTTGCAATTAGACGTGAGACCAGGAAAAGGCCCTGTGTGTTGCTTGACCTTTTCCTGTCCCTTGTTGACAAAACCCATGAAAATGTTTATTATCCAAACCTTTCCCTACTAAAGGAAGGAAGCAACAAAGGAACTGGAGGACAAAAGGACTGAGGGGTCTTCACACTCAGTAAGAAGTGTCTTCTGAAAGAAGATTGTGGTTGAACTCTATCACAGCATGAAATTAAGTTATTCTATTACATGGTCAGTCTAACCCATAATTTTAAAAATCCCTAGCAGAATGGAAACTAACAGCTAGTGAACATAAAAAGCTCAAGCAGATGTTAAAGCTGTCGCATGCAGTAATAACTAGCAGTTGTCCATTTTCCCTATTAAAATATTACAGATGTGGATAGGAAAAACCATTGGGTTTTCTGATTTTACATTCTCAGAAGCTCATTGTTGTCATAGGCCATGGTACAATGAACTAAAGTTTTCAAGTGTTTTATGGTGGATTTGTTAATGTGCGGACACAACACAGGAAGTTGGCTCTTCTCCAATTTATAGGCACATCAACAATCCTTATTTTTCACCAGCATTCTGTCCCCAAATGTATGCATTGAATGTTAGTTTAGTGAACCATATAATATGAGGTGATCTAATTATATTTGAATTTTAAAATCAGAGAAGTGTAATCAACATAGTGCAATGTGGTAAGTATTGCTATAATTTTATGTTACATTCCCGATGTAACACTGATGTTCTTCAAAGGTTTAGAGATATCATAAACCACCCTTCCTACCTGGTTAATTTGATCTATGAACAGTGTTAAAGTTACCCGTGGAGCTGCTGAATTTTGTCTGTTGACCGCAGAACCATTTTTTTTCTGCAGAGTGATGGAGCAAGAGGTATCTGTTGCCTTTTTACCTACTCATTCCTTTTTTGGTTTGTGTGAAATCATTATGATATTTGGTATTTAAATGCTAACTCTTGTGAGGGATCTAATTTCTGTTTTCCTCCTCCAGAGGTAGTCACCTTTGCATTTTTTGTGGAGTTAATCTTGCATGAAACCATACGGTAGCCCCGCCTTACTGTCCTGTATCTATAACGCTGTTACCAAGCTAGAAAAGAGAGACAGCTTCACATTCCTGCTGTAGACTGACCATTGCGGTTGGTCCTAAAAATGCTACTCTGCTGCTCTAACATTTGTTTTCAAATACAAACCTACTCATTTTTCTTTACTGTGAGGGTGGTGAGACACTGGAAGAGGTTGTTCAGAGAAGCTGTGGATGCCCTATCCCTGGAAATGTTCCAGGCCAGGTTGGATGGGGCTTTGAGACACCTGGTCTAGTGGAAGGTGTCCCTGACCATGGCAGGGGGGTTGGAACTAGGTGGTCTTAAAGATCCCTTCAAACTCAAACCATTCTATGATTCATTTGCTCTTTAAGGTAGCTGTATGTTCAT